AAACTGAAATAAAATTTAAAAATCAGTTAACTTTCTTTTTTTTTCAGTGGCCCTAATCCTCTTCCGTAGTCTGAGCTGCTTAGATCCTTATAACTCTGACCCCTTCCCCCCCATTCCCATTATTTTCTGTCCTCTGATGCCTTTTTCTGAGTTAATAGCTTTATTTTGCTGGACTGTAAACCTCAGTCATGATTTATTGTGTGTTTTAAATGTTATAGTAATTCTGCAAAAAAAAGCCCAAAAACTTTTAGTTTAAATTGAAATCCCCTGAAAAGTTGGAGAAGATTCTCAGTCATTTAGCTCATAGTCATTCCATAGAAATTAAAAAACAATCCTCTGGACTTTGTTTTAAAGTTTGAAGACGTTTCTCTTCCATCCAGGAAGCTTTTTTAATTTAAAAATGTCAGAAATAGTGTTGAGTTTTACTGTAAACTGTTTTTGTTTTCAAAATAAAAAACAGGCTTTGTTGGGCTGCTGTAGAAAACCTGGAAGTCAACACTATTCCTGAAATGTTGGATTAAAAATCTTCCTGGATGGAAGAGAAACGTCTTCAAACTTGGAAACAAAATCCAGTGGATTGTTTTTAATTTTCTTTTTTGGAATCCCCTGATAAAACGTAAAAGAGACCCAGAGATTGGGATACATTTTTTCAGTGCATGTCTTTTCCTACAGTATAATAATCTGACCTAAATCGACCTGTTAATGCATCAAAATGTCTTCAGTCCCGTTAATCTTTGACACAGAAAAGCATCTAGATTCCTGAAAAGCTTCTGAAATCGACAGTTCAATTAAAATCAACTCATAAATGCAAAAGAAACCAGACAGTTCACATAATTTAGGCCTTTTATTTGTATTTTTTTGGTGTAAAAGAAGTTATTTGTGAAAAACTAATGAAGTACAGGGAAAAAAGTTACTAATCCTGACAACAGAAGATAAAGTTTGGCATTTAAAGTGATTTGTGAAGCTGAGCAGACAGTTTGCAGTCAAACATCGCTGATTGTTGACGGTGATCTAAGCTTTTCAGATGATTATTGTTATTCTCATCTCACCTTAGCAATCTCCTGATGTGAAATCAAGCCAAAAGAAAACGATGATGACATGTGACTCTGGTACAGACTGCACTGCTTTAAGAAGCAGGTTTGGATTGCAGGCCAAGGTAGCAATCACACGTTTAACTTTGAGACCAGGGATAAAGAGCTGCTCATACGGGAGGCAATGCACTCAAAGGTTTTACATCCAAATGGGATTTCTGCTTAAACTGCTGTAACATTTCTGCTAAATCATATTTTGGGACATAATTGTAAAAAGTTTGAGTGCTTTGCCTTTATTGGGTTCTTTTTCATTTTGGTTAGATTTTTCTTGAATGTTTTCTTCCAGCTTTATTTCTCAGCTGATTTTCATTCAGGCTCGTTTTTCCTGTTTTATCATCCCCAGTAACCCTTATTGTGCCTTCAGATGAACATTTCACCACCTTTACACTCAACCCTGCTCTCCTTCCTCTTAGTTTAAGTCCCTGGCAGCCATCTCTGGCTGCCAGGGACTTAAACTAAGTGGAAGGAGAGCAAAAGTACTCACTTTCCGTACTTGAGTAAAAGTACAGATACTTGTGTTAAAAAATACTCTGGTAAAAGTGGAAGTACTGATTAAACTTCTTTACTCAAGTAAAAGTAACAAAGTACAGGCTTGTAAATGTACTTAAAGTATAAAAGTAAAAGTAGAAACCACTTTTTTCATGCCGTTGCCTACATTTTAAATGGATGTCTGCCAATAGGACTAGATCTCCGTTGTGTTCATTTTCAATCATCTCGTCGTCCATGCTACTATGCTAACGCCACCGCCACCAAGCTGCATTGATTTGCCGCCAATGAATACCGCCGAATCTGTCGATTCATCTTGTAGCGGTGCGTCAAATGCAACGTAGATTCCCATCCAATTAGATTGAATTTGGTATTGATGACGTGAAAAATAATAACGGTAACTCCATTGAAATGATTCAAAACTAAAGTAACGAGACAATTTTTTAAAATGTAAGGAGTAGAAAGTACAGATATTTGTGTAAAAATGTAAGGAGTAGAAGTAAAAAGTCGCCATAAAAATAAGTAGTAAAGTAAAGTAAAAATATCAGAAAAATCTACTTGAGTACAGTAACAAAGTATTTGTACTTTTTTACTTCCTATCTCTACTGGCAGCATCAGCATTTTAATGTATTTTAATAAACAGGTGTCTAGTTGTAAACAAAGTGGGGCTTAACAATGAACTGCAAGGACAAGCATAAAGAATCTGATATTTTTACAAATAGAAATCTGAAAAAAGTAGTTTGTGCTTCTTTTATCTGATTCTAGGGCGACAGTGGCGTTGGATGTAGGAGTTTGCCATGAAATCGAAGGGTTGACAGTTCAAGCCTCGACTCCGACTTTCAGTGTCGTTGTGTCCTTGGGCAAAACACTTCACCTGCATCGTCTACTGATGGTGGTCAGAGGGCCCGGTGCCACCATCAGTGTGAATGAATGTAGTGTAAAGCGCTTTGGTCAAGTCTCCTAACTTGAATAAAGGCGCTATATAAGTACAGGACATTTACCATTCTATCAGGTACCTTTAAATAAAATCCAAAGCATCTAGCTTCTAAGGTTGTCTAATTTGTAAATATTGATCGTATATCAGGCGTCAGGTGAGAAGAAGGCAGGTCAAAGAAAACAAATCAGACAGGTTAGGGAGGAACAAAATGAAGAAGTTTAAAGCAGTTCAGAAAGAAAACATGCTGAGCTTTAAATGTCAGCTGCAAACCTATAGATCCACCCGTGTGACTAAAGATCAGTAATCAGAGAAGGAGCCTGTAACTCTTGTAACTAACAACCTAGACACAGTAGAGGTTGCATCATGCTGAGGGATTATTTTTTAGGACAGAGGAGCTCTATAGAAAATGATTGTTGGGGAATACAGATGGTGGAGTGTGAAAGAAAAGTTGTTGGATGCTGCATACGTCTGAAGATTTGGGTCGAGATTTTCCTTCTAACTGGAAAACAATCCTACACCATATTTTTTCTGCAGGCTTTATGCATTTCAGCTTTATTTTATAATCTTTTCTTTCTGCCTTTTGCTTTAAAGTACTGGATATATTTCCTGATCATTTTCCCTCCTGCCTGCTTCATGCTGCTTTTAGGTTTTTCCTTTTCAACGTTGTGCAGGACGAGGCTCTTTAAATGACACTATATTGTTCACAACACAACGCCTCCTCTGTTGGAGTGTTTCTGCCTCATAGTGCTGCATTTGTGGACAAACGTTTTCCCAAAGCGTTATCCCATGAAGTGGATGACGACACCTCGGTGTCCCCGGCCAGTCGTAGTCGTCATGCGGCCGGTTCATCTGGAGCTCTACAATAGTGTCCTGTGGTTCGCACACAGAGGGGGGCTGTTTTCATTGCACAGCAATATCAGGGCTTCAGTCTTTCTGTTGGCCGGGTGCAGCTGGAGCAGATCTCCCAGCATGTCTGCTTCGGCGCACCGCGGGCCTCTCACACTACTCCACTGTTTTGTAAACAGCTTGCTTAGCTGTACCAGCCTGATGCATCAGTTTTCAAACCACTCTCCCATGCAATGCCAGCCTCTGCCTCACATGCACACTTGTATTATCCCAACAGGTTATCTGTGAGTCCATCTGAGACAGCAGCAGGATGGAGTCCTACAGACTCAGCGGCTCTTCAGACGTCCAGATGCAGAGAGGCTATGTGCTACAGCACAGTCCTGGAGCCAGCAGCCAAGAGAACCTGTTTGGGGTGAGAGTTCAGGTGCAGGGCATCAAAGGTCAGCCTTATGTGGTTCTAAACACTGCTGGTCAGGAGAGCCACAAGGATGTATCTGTCATAACTCACCAGGCGGGTTACAAACCAGGCACGGTGAGGAGGTCTGTGGAGGAGCCACAGAGGAGGCCAAACTCCTCCGGGTTTCATTATCAGAGCCACTCTGAGATCTTCAGGCCGTATGAGCCGGAATACGATAACCATAACCCCCCCAGATCTGGCCACACCTCCCTGTCCACTGAGACGGCACAGACTGCCAAACCCAGGATCCCTCTGCCTGCCGAGGGCCCCGCCGAAGACCCAGCTGAGTTCAACCACATGCCAGAAGGACACAGCGCTCCACTGTCCCCAAAGTCAGTGGACACTGACTCCATCATGTCTGTGGGCAGGCTAATCAGCCAGTTCAACAGCAGCCTGCAGAGGGGGAGAGGGCCGAGGAACAGAGTGGACCCAGAGGCCTGTCGACGGTCCCGCAGCGTGGAAAGCAGTCGAACCTTAAGTTCTTCCTCATCGCATTTATCCAGCAGAGCTTCTTCCCTAAAGGGATCCAGAGGGGAAACCCCAGCTGGTATTTACCCCCCCGGATCCGCCAGGGCTCGGCTCCTTGGTGGAGAATCTGCTCGGGCAAACAGAGAGGAGAGCAAGATCAGCAAAGGACAACAAGGGACAGAGACAGTAACGCTGTCCAACAGGACAGAGAAACCAACTGTCTCCAGGCCAACGACAGAGCAAACATCTGATGAAAGAGACACACAGGTAAGGAGTTTATCCAGGAACAGAATAGTTCTTTAAAAGTTAGTATTTATTGGCTGTATGTTCTCTAACCAGGTTACTCCTGATCTTCTGAAAGGACAGCAAGAGCTCTCAGCAGATCCACCAGAAGAAGCAACAAAGCAAATACTCTTCACTTGTCTGAAGAACGGGTGAGTGCAGCCAGGTTTCCGTGAGTAGAACTGATCAGACGACATTTCATCTCGTTATTTAGGTTCTTCAGTCACTGCGACTACAGAGAAAGACGAGGTCGGATCAATGCTGTCTCACTTTATTACAACATGGAGGTTTTAGATGACAATAAAGTTTGTCTGAGTCTTAGAGAAACAAAGTAGAAACAGGGAAACGTACGGAGCTCTGGCGATGTAGCTATTGAAATATTTTACATTTTGTTACGTTACAATCTGCACAGCGCTTTAAAGGGACAAAACCAACATGTTTTCAATCCAATTTCAACTCAGTTTATTTCTATAGCGCCAATTTACAACACATTAGTACAGAAGAGGATTAGGGCCACTAAAAAAAAAAAAAAAAAAGTTAACAGATTTTTACATTTTATTTCAGTTTAACATGGGAAAAAAGTCAGAATTCTGACTTTAATCTCAGAATTCTGAAATTAAAGTCAGCATTCTAACATTTTTGTCAGAATTCTGACTTTTTTCCCATGTTAAACTGAAATAAAATGAAAAAAAATCTGTTAACTTTTTTTTTTCCAGTGGCCCTAATCCTCTTCCGTACATTAGTGTTAATTTTAGCAGCCATTTTTTAATTTAGTTTCAGTTTTAATTCAGTTTAAGCATCGCTTGTTAGTTTTTATCACATTTAGTCGACATCATCCCATTTTTATTTAGTCTAGTTTTAGTCGACTATAAGTCGAGCATTTTAGTCTTTATTTTAGTCCAAGAAAACGAAAACAAAAAAAGATTTTAGTCAACAAAAACCGTCAACATTTTAGTCTAGTTTTAGTCAGGACATAATTTTAACCTTTTACTTTTTTGTCAGCAGATAATATTTAAAATTTCCTAAAATGATTTCACATTTCAACATTTTCTCATCTTTTTGATAAAAAAAAACACAATTTTAAGGAACACACGCAGACATGGAAGATGTTCTGACAATATTTGCATATTTATTATGAACATTGTTAAGGTTCAAAGACACAAACACTAATGCTTGCATTAAAACAAATAAAATACACCTGACAAAGGAAACAAATAAAATAAAGTGTCTTATGAACTTAACACAAGTGCTGGCTGTTTAAAGCTAGTTCACATAGAATAATAAAATAAATAGATTTGAGATCAATGTTGTGGAAAAAAAAAACTTCAGCTGATACAACAAAAGTGCTTTCCTACGGAAGAGGATTTGGGCCACTAAAAAAAAAAAGTTAACTGATTTTAAAATTTTATTTCAGTTTAACATGGGAAAAAAGTCAGAATTCTGAGATTAAAGTCGGAATTCTGACTTTTTTCTCAGAATTCTGACTTTAATCTCAGAATTCTGACTTAATTCTGAAAATAAAAAAGTCAGAATTCTGAGAAAAAAGTCAGAATTCTGACTTTTTTCTCAGAATTCTGACTTTTTTTCCCATACTAAACTGAAATAAAATGTAAACATCAGTTAACTTTTTTTTTTTTTCCCACTGGCACTAATCTTCTTCCGTACTTTCCTGCCAGCTAGTTCACATGGAATATAAAGGTAGAGTATTTAAGGTGAAACAAGGCATAGCTTGCTAGTCCTGAGCGTCAGCTTTGTATTTGCTGTGGGAAATAAAGGAAGCTTGTATAGCTGGCCTGTCATTGTTTCTGGTAGGTTGTTGGTGGTGGTTTATCTTCAATCTGGAACAGAAATAAATAAAATGTCATGATAGATAAAAAGCATAACAGGAATTCTAAGAGTATAAGTAGCATATAGGTCTGTTTTTTTCCTATTTTTTTCCTATTTCCTTTTTGGTTCCTTACCGGGTTGTTTGTCTGACCGCCATTGTGGAAAGCGACTCGTGAAGTTGGACCAGCTAGAAGAGCGAGGTGCGCGAAAACGCTTGGACCCTTTTTCCACCTGGATCCCCGCTCTTTTTGGCCCTCATGTCCCTCCATATCTAGACCCACAGCTAGTTCCTGATTGTCCCTCTTGCTATGTGGAGTGGAATAACAGCGCAGACCACGCTTCAATATTGGGCATAAACCAAAAATATCTGCGACAAGCTCACTGCGACACACTGCTGCAGGCCTTTAGCATGCTTTTAGTAACAGTGGAGAGGAAAAACTCCCTTTTAACAGGGTTCAAGGAGACAGAAGCAGAGATAGAAAAGGCAACTGTTAAAGGCGTCCCTGTCCAGGAAACGCACGGCCAGGCAGACGAGCTCCGAGCCAGCTCCATGTCTTCCACTATTATGCACTGTGTTGGTCTGTCACATAAAAACACATAAAAAAAGGACATTTTTCTAGTCTGTAAAAATAGCTTTGCAAGGAACTGTACACGTGTTTGTTCAAATGCACTAAAATACACTCAACACCACCTCTAAAGTACACTAAATGACAAGGTTAACCTTTTTGTTTTACGGTTAAAAAAAAAAACTGGTGTGTGGGAGGATTTCACGGGAATTTATGTCAAACTGGTTTTAGAGACGCCTGACTTTGTTTAGCCAACAGCACTAAGAAATTAGACTCTGGATGTTTTATGAAAATATTATCGTCAAGAAGAAATGACAGAAGTCCCACAGTCTGGTGGAAGAAACCTTTATGTGATAGAAGGCAGAGGAAGAGGTGTCATGGTAGGGGCCTGCTTCTGGGCTGAGGTCATTTCCTGCTGCTGGTGGAACAACAAGTTCATGAGAGTTCAGGAGGCTGATTGTTAGAGAAAAGCAACGACTGTTTGAGGTTCATAAAGATAAACCCATCTAGATCTTCCTTTTTTAAAATTGTATTTATTTATTTTATTTTATTTTATTTTATT